GCCATTGCAACTTTTGATTTACACAACGAGAACTATCAGAGAATCCATAGTTTCAAAGAGTTTGCAGAGGGCCATTTTCCGTAAGGATCTAGCGGGGTTGTTATCCGGTTATAGGCATTCTTTGATAAAGACTTAAACTTTTTAAAAAAGTGGAATAAAATAACTTCATTAGGGAAATATCGTTTTCAAAAGCTTTGTCATGAAACTTAATTACTTGTAATAAAATAGTGGCAATTACTTTCCAATGTTTTTTAAATTTAATAAAATTTTAATCTTTTATACTTGTGTGTAACTAAAATCAATAAGAATAATCAACACCGTGAAGTACTTGCATAAGCCATCTAATTATACTTATTATGTTTTTGAAAATTCACTTTGAGAACTGAGCCACGTGCAGTTATCTAAGGTTTGACAAATTTGATAAGAAAAAATATTGAAAGAGCAAGTACAATATTATTTTGCCAATCACCGTTATTCTTGTGTAAACTTTATACAGGTATGACAAAGCGTTTGTCGAACATGAACGTTACACATTTCTTTGTCGACATTTTTTCTTGTTATATCGCACGAGTGACAATAGATTTTATCAATCATGTCTACCTAAAGACTCTTCTAAACTGACAGTACTCCCAAAGTTTTTTGAACAAAGCGTAATACTCTTCCATAGCTTTACTTGACTTATATTACTTTACAGTTACACATACATACTTTTAGAAGTGAGTTAGTTTAATATGAAATATTATTCTGAAAATTCATTTTTGAATTTTCAACCCACTACAAACTACCTCAAATTAATGAGGGAAAATGTGGGTGCGTAAAGCCAAAGGTCCGGGTTCGATTCCCGGCGGGGGTGTGACAACAGCAACAATTTTTCCCTCATTAATTTGAGGTAGTTTGTAGAGGGTTGAAAATTCAAAAATGAATTTCAAAAATGAATTTTTAGAATAATATTTCATACTTTACAGTTTATATCGTCTTTTCATATAAACATATAAACATGTATCTACAGCAAAATATCTCAACTCGCCACTAGTGTGTATCTATAATGAAGCGTGTTCTGATTGTCTGATAATAATATTTTAATGAAAATTCAAGAGCTTATTATGGTTTTTTTGATTTGTTATTTCAAATGTAAAATAAAAAATAGATTTCCGTTTTGTATTTTAAATGCTAAATGCAAAATACGTATTTTCAAAATACTTTTTTTCAAATAAATACTTTTT